ACGTATGATGTAAAATGATTAGCTATCACTAAGATATAGTGTTTTTTTATTGACATACTTTGTGAAGAAAAAACCGTTACCCGAGGTTTTTATGATTACCGAAACAAACAGAATTTGAGTAGTTGAAGGCACTTATAGATAGATAGATAATTAGACAGATAGCTAGATAGATAGTAGATAGAAGATAGATAGATATATAGATAGATAGATAGATAGATAGATAGCAAGCAGACAGAGCAAGAGTGTGTGTGAGAGAGAGAGAAAGAGAGAGAGAGAGAGAGAGAGAGAGAGAGAGAGAGAGAGAGAGAGAGAGGTGGTGAAAGAGAGAGCCAGAGGGAAAGGGACGAGAGGAGAGAGAAAGAGAGAGACAGAGACATAGAGTCAATCGAGCGAGGCAGAGAATTAGACAAACATAAATACAGACAGACAGACAGACAAATAAACTGCCAAATATACAGACAGGCAGACAGACGGATAGAGATAGAGACACAGAGTGAGAAAAAATCCACGCACTGGCAATATTCATGTCTGCTGTACATGGACGAATTTCCTGGCTATGAGATCAATGCAATGTGTCACGGTATTTCTCAATATAAAACGACCGGCCGAGAAAACTCTCCTGAGTGACTCTTATTCTTTTAGTCCAACACAAGTGAAAGGTGTGGGGTTCGACTTCTTTGTGATGTACAACGTTTGCATTTTCCCCCTTTTTAGAGCTTGGTTTTCTTTTCATGGCGCGTCTAGAGATCTGAAGAATTGATCTGACTTTTGAGTTTATCTAAACTTGTTCACTACAGTCAGTGAACAGTTAGCCTACTCTTTAATAATTAATAGGACAGAAACAAAAATAAGACAAGTTAAAAGTAACAATGTAATGCCAATATGATAAACATTAAAGAAAAGAAAGCAAAATAAAATAAAAGGTACTTAATATGTTTTTTCTGAGGGGAAATACTCACTCCAAAAAATGTACAACGCATTCACTAGTAAATCCACTGTTACAATCTGCTACATCATAGGAGAAAAACAGTAATGCTCCAAAGCAGCCAATCTATGAACTGAAAATTCAAATTTTTATGCGAAGCTGAGGTGACATAATTTGTTAAACGTTAATGAAACATTTTCATAACAGATCAATGTAATAAATTTAGTTTGTAAACTGCCTGTCGGTACTGGCAGAAATCTCTCAACACTGTATACTGTCTAGACTCGCATTAGACTTTTAAACTGGAAAATCCAGCCCACTCCTCATCCCCACCACCTTACCCCCACCATTTATCCCCCTTACCCTCAACCTCTTACCCTCGCTCTTTTACCCGTACCCCCATCTTCCTTTCCCAAAGACACCCCCCCCCCCCAACTTATCACCCTAATTTCCACCTCACCTGCCCTCCGTATCTTCCCTTCCCCTCGACACTTATACCCTCCCCCTTCCCCCCTCCCCCCATCCACCCCACCCCCTTTCCCTATTCTAAAGCAAAAGTAGACCCTAAAACGAAGGCTGTTCTTTTAATAATTAAATTTTCTGAAAAGGGTGGATAAAACAAGCACTTAGGCGGTGGGAGAAGGGATTAGTGTGGATACTCCCATAATGCTCACTCACGTTCTTGAGTTGGAGAAGGGTAGACACCACTGTGAGATGGTCCTCATGAACCTTTGGAGTCTCCCCAGTACAGCAGGGCACGGCGACTTCGGTATGCTGAGCATACCAAATGTGTGCCACCGTGATGAAATCAGGCTCTCGTCAAGATAATCAAATTGAAGAATTGACATTATAATATTTCTGCCCGTTAACGTTTTCATGGGGTTTTATTTTGGCTCAACACCTTTTATGTCCATCTAAAACACAGTTCTGTGTTTGTGTGGATAATACTGAAAGAAGGTGGTCAAAAACAGATTATTTTTAAATTCATAGTTTTCAAGGACATTAAAAAATTAACTGAACTTTGGCGGCCATTTACTCGCTAATTTTACCTCTTACATATAGGCGATCCCACCTTCGTCATTCGTTAATATATTGACTTCAATTCAAGAAAGATGAGTATTAAAAAAAGCAAGCTTCAAATTGACGAGCGCCTGATTCCACTGTGTCCTGACTCAAATAGCTAGGGCTTTCCTGGAGGTTGAAGAATACAGTAATGAAATACTGAGGAGACAACAGATTTCTTTTTTTTCTGAAACTATTCTAACCGTGAGTTATATTTGAGTGGTAGGTAGGTAGGTAGGTAGGTAGGTAGGTAGGTAGGTAGGTGGGTAGGAAGGTAGGAAGAGAAAGAGAGAGAGAGAGAGAGAGAGCGCAAGAGAGAGAGAGAGAGAGAGAGAGAGAGAGAGAGAGAGAGAGAGAGTGCGTGTGTGTGTGTTTGTGTTTGTGTGTGTGCAGGAGAAAGAGAGAGAGAGAGAAAGAGAAAGAGAGAGAGAGAGAGATAGAGACAGAGAGCGAGTAAGCGAGAGAGAGATACATAGATATATAGATAGGTAGATAGAGAAAGGGAGGGAGGGAGAGAGAGAAAGTGTGAGTGAGATAGAGAGAGGGAGAGCGAGAGAGAGAGAGAGAGAAATGGAGAGAGAGAGAGAGAGAGAGAGAATGTTATGAGATCAAAGGGTACATTAATACAAGAGAGTAGGAACTGTATAGATCATGCCAGGAATTATATTTCCTGTATCCTAAAAATATTGACCATGGCATTTCATATAAATAATTACGTGTTATATGTCAACGGGATTGGGGATGCTATCATAAACACACTCAGAAAAGATAAATGGTCAGGTTTGACAAATAATCCAATAAAAAAAAACTAGCGAGCAAAAAGACAAACAAACAAACAGACCAGTTTTTAAAAAACCCGTCCCCCCCCCCCTCCCCCAAAGATAAAAAATAATAATAATAGTAAAACCCAACAACAACAATTACACAGAAAAACCACAACCAACCACAGCAACAGCTGAACTACAGCCAAGAACGACAGCCTATCCCCGTATCTGTTAGAGAATAAAACTCTCCTGAACTGTTTTTTCCCCTGGCATCAGCGGTTTGTTTTCCCCGTGTATGGCAACGGTCCAGCTGTACACTTCGTCCCAGCCATCTGTCGCCGCGGAGAGTCAGACCCGGTACAGACTGACTCACAATAATATCTTCCTTTAACTTTGCTATACTGTTTGTTCGTTTTTGGTTTTTAGTTTAAAAAAGTATCGTTTTGTTTTGTTTTTGGGAGTGGGGTGAAAAAAAAAAGGGGGGGGGGTATTTTATTACTTAAATCAAAGCAGTCGAGAAGGGGCGCTCCTATAGCTCTGTTGGTGTCATGCTGGACAACGGGGCAGATTGTCCCGTTTTGAATCACAGACTGGGCCTTCTTTGAACTCGGGTTGTTTTATGGAGTTTTTAAGGTTCTCAAACCATATCATGATTCTGCTCTACTTTAAATAGATATTAAGTTCGGAGGTTCTGCTTCTTAAATTGCCTAAGAGTGTTGAGAGGAGCGATGCATCCAGTCACTTACTTTTTAACTTAAGCAATCCAGCCAGGCTTTTTAAGGCCCTCTGCTCTCTTAAAGCCCTCTGCTGCTGGCAATTTTCCATTTTTCCTCTTTGACTATACACAACTTGTTCTCTTCACTTTTGGAATCTACAACCATTTTCCTCAAAGTCCCCAGTTCCCGTTGTGATGAAAAAAAAAAGAAAATGTTTCTAATAGTAATTTTTAATGTCTGTGAGGGCTAGGCTATGTTATCAGGAATATTATACTCGTACTTACGAAGAACGACTTAGGTAACCGTGAAAATATCTTTGCCGTGTTATAATCAAAATTACTCCTGCCCTTTATGTACACGACTTCGTTAAAAAAAACAACTCCTACACTTTAGACGCTGGTAATATCATATTAAGCAGGTTTTAGGAAAATTATTATAATAATAATATCGTTATTATTACCATATCATGATGGTAACAATAATAATAGTAATGATAATACTAATAATGATAATAATAATAATAATAATAATAATAATAATAAAAACAGCAACAATAACAAATACTGAACAGGGATAATATATTCTTTACATAGTTACAGTTTATAGCAGGAAAATTCTACAGAATCCTTCTAAAAACTGCGAATGTCTATTGTGATGTTCATCTGTCTTTGGTAAAAAATAGTAACCAGCTTGAACGAGAACTCTGCCCCACGCACTGTGCTCATGTCTTCGTCGTTGGCGCTTTGATTACATTGCTGCTGAATGCCAGTATAAACATGAATATGAACAACAGTCTGTACCCACCTTAAGTAACCCAACGTATGTTTAGTTCAGGGACTGGAAAACTAGTAGAGGAATTCCGACGAGATAGGATAAAGCGATGCGCTTTATGTCCTTCACTATTCCTATATCGTATCATAAAAGCCATGCCCAGCTGTGTGACATTTGGAGTGAATAAAACGTAGGTGGGTGTTGAGTGTCAGAGCTCATGGAATAGCACTGATGAGGTGCAAAAGTGAAGAAAAATCTTTAAAGCTTCTAACAAGGAAATTAAACACCAAGTGGCTGTTCTGAAAATATACGTGTTATTATAGTTTCTCATATCCAAACCATTTACAACGCGGAATCTGACACTCAGTTGTGTCATACGATGCAGAAAGATATACGTGTTAAACGAGTTTTAAAAAAACCAACACGTAACGAAGCCAGAAAAACATGAAGTTTTCTTCAGTGTGCAGCAACAAGCGACGCTAAACTGATATTAATGGATTTTTAAAAAAAAACGTGTGAAGACCGTTCACGTCGTCCATCGGAATGCACCCGTGCGTGAAAAAAATAACGTTATTGTGTGTCTTTTTGTATGCACTCATATAAATGATAATATCCCTATTAGGTCGTGTTACGCTTCGGGGTATTGACGGTGGCTGTTCATGTCGTGAAAAGTGTTAGTTTAAGAATTCCATTAATGTCATGTAGTTCTTTGAGAGTACAGATGTTGGATTCAACGAATAACAACATCTTTCTTTAGTTTAATGTCCGTTTATTTGCAGGAGACCAACAGATCTTTTCACTTTAAAGTCTATGTCGGTTTTTCAAAATTGAATCAGTGGGTGGTTCGATCAAAATGTTTTTATTCGTTTAAGATAATTAAAGGATGTGCGGGGCCGATATCCAAATGACCGAATTATGTAGGACGCTGGCGGTACAAAAGGTGGGGTTCACATAGGTACGAAAAAAAAAGACAGCTAAAGTTTATCGTGTGTTTATCTACCGGTTGTCTATGAATCGATTCTAGAAAATGTCAACACAGTCGTTTGGGAAATAAACCAATGATTTCTTTTATCTTGCAGTTTTAATTTTGTGCAGGAATTTCTCGCTTCCGTTTGGCCACGTTATGAAATGCAGAGAAAATCAACAAGGTTGCTGTCCTGAGAATCACCCTGAGTTTGTGAAGAACATTTATCAGCTACCATTCTTCTCGTGGATTTAGGAGACACTCTTTCCAAATTCCCAACAAGTTCAAAGTTTGTGAAGCAATTGTGTGTGGATTTACGAGTCGTTTACCTGAATTATGAATATCGCCGTGCCTATTGACAAAATTAATATGTCCAGCGGAGACGTCTGATGTAAAGAAGTTCTTGTCGCCAACATGAAATGTCTCAGCAATGCCAGGCAGGCTCTGTTACGTCGTTGTTGTCGTCGATGTGAGACAGGTAAAATACGCACTTTGTGTTGTTAAAGATTGTGGATGTCTGTTTGGCAGCTCTGCTTTTATGTTTAGTTATATTACTTTGTCTTTTTCATTGCTGTGGAAGTCTGTTAGGGAGCTCGGGTTTTATGTTCAGTCATATTATACCGTGATGGTTCTATGAAGACGTCAATACGGTTGGCCTCAAAAACAATAAACCTCGCTTATGTATACATAAAGGCATTGGCACGTCTTTGTGTCAACCTACCTTTTTATTCTATCACAAGTTTCCTTTCATTTTCTCTCTCTCT